TCTCCCTGCACGGTTTCAGCTACGAATTCGATACTTTCAGCTGGCCCATCAACCAGTCGCGATTACGAAACTATACATATATCGAGGCTTATTACATTAAACAAGCCGCGCAGCAAGTAATTGTTCCGCTAATAACAGCCGCCCACTAGAGAGACATTAATAATTTCTCAAATAACAACAGACCGCTGCGAGCGTCATATTTTCGTGACAGCCCTTTGTTCCGTGCTATTGCATTATTTTGTTACCGAATTAATAGCACATCGTAACGATACCAATTTGCCACGATAACCGAGGAAAAATAACAAAATTCCTGATCTTTCTTCGTAATAAACAGAAAAAAGGTAATTTTCACGCATCCACGATTGAAAATAAAATTTTGCGTAAGTAAAGCCACGAAGAAGGTGGAAAAGGGCGGTGAATATCAATTTAAAACCACTTTTCGACGCATCTCTCGAATTGCTTACACGTACCAAGGTTGTTTGTAATCCCGTTTCTCCTCCCTCGGGCCGTGCCGCTCTGTTGCTTTATTATTTCCTTCCTCCGTATTGCTATATTCTCACCCCTTTCATCCTCCAATTTGTCTCTCTGCTCTATGCTCTTTGGTATTATGCGTGGTGCATAATGCACCTCATGCTACTCTGGTAGACGCGCGCAAGATGCCCCTTGCGACGCGTTTATCATCGGGGATAAAACGAGCTGACCGGACCGTTCGTTTCAACAGGGGAAACTTTTCAAAGCGTAGATCGATCGGCTCGCTGATAACGCGATAACGGGGATTTCGAAACGCTCGTGGCCTGTGAAACACGGCCTCCGATCATCCCCCTCCTTTTACCCCTATTTGGTTCGACGTACTTTTCCAAGCCGCGGTACAATTATCCTTCTACCGATAACGTTCTTCTTTCTCAACTTAGAAGCTTCGGTATAAACTTATAAGACGAATGTTTCTTCTACCTCTTGAAATCTATTTTTCAATTCATAACTAGACGTTAGATGATTTATCGAGTCAACAGGTGGGGATAGTGCAGAAAGAAGGAATGGATCGGTTGCGAATCGAGAAGGAATTAGAAGTGTCGGACAGCTGACAGAGAGCGCGGGGGTATCGAGTTAAACGCGGCGTACAGCCACGCATGACGCTACACTAATTTATTCAAAACCGTCATAATTGCGATATCGCACGGGCTGCCATTGCGGATTACCGCAACGCAGTTGCTCCGCGCTGAAATTGCAAAACCCGGTGTGTCATGGGGCGAGCGTGAAAATCGGAAACAGCCGCGGGGGAAATGCTAATTTCGCGATTTCTAACGCGTCCTTCCACCTTTGTAATCGACCGATACTACCGACGCGACGCGCTGATCTCTGCAAGAGTTTTTTCAGAAAATTTTTTTAACGGGCTGTTATAAAAATAAACTCGGTTTACACGAATTTCTATTCGTACGTAACGACCTACTTGTATAATAGAAATTTCATTTGACAAGTCAGATCGCGCAAACTGGCTTTTCACTTTTCACCCCATTTCCTGCGCTGATTTCCGTACCAGAGATTATTTTTTAACGGAATTCGCGGTATAATCTGTACATGTTGTTTGTTTTTTTTTTTTCCCCACAAGTTTCCGGAACACGAATGAAAAATTTGTCGTTTCGAGGTAAAAATCGAGCCGGTCGTTTACAGGAGCGGCGCTAGTTTGCCGAGTGTTTTGCAGCTGAATTAAATTTGCGAACGCTTTGGAGCGCAAGCGTGTGCACGCGTTCACTCGTTACCCGAACGTTTCCACGAAGAATTAAGGTTACGGCAGCGAGCAAAGAGGACGTGATTTTGTTTCGAGGATCACTTGCCGCGACCTCGCAAACATTTGCCCGCCGCGCCACCCCGTTTACTGCAAATTACCTTCGCTTCTTAAGCAGCTTTTTCTTATTATACACCTATTAAGAAATTCCATAATTACGTAGTTTATTTTTTCGCGTATAAATTAAGATTATATACGGAGTGTTGATATAATACAGAGAGCATGAAGTATTTGCGTCGAAAGTCAATTGAACAGTGTATGTACACTGCATTAAAATCGCTGATTGATACATCCTTAATCGTTAGACAGCAAAGTCTTTAGAAGTTGCAAGCAGTTCACAGTGACTCGGAGAGACATCAAGTATCTAGGAAGCAATCGAACATCCGCCGGTAGTCTATTTGTTAATTAGACTGCTAGCATCGAAGCAATTAGATGATTCTGCTCGATCGATCGTTTTACTTACTGACGGTAATCAGTTCAGTTAACGTGGCAAAGCGAATCAGGTTAGGTATACGGTAGGTGGTGCATTAAGAGATAGAAATAATTATTAATAAAAGTTGATTAATTTTTTCATCAAATATCACACGCGATGACTACGGTGGTTAGCCCGTTTTTTCGCGATAGCGTTTCCTTGTTTAACACATAAATCCCCTTTCTCTACAAGAAATGGAAGAAAAACAGGCAGTGCGGTGCTCGTTAAAAGGTCGAGAGTTTTCATAATTAACGAGACAGTAGAAGAGAGCTACGTAATAACTTTCCGAAGCCCGGAGGACGAATTCACCCTTCGCGTCATGTCGAAATTTACGCGTTACAAACAAGGGCTGTATCTACATTCCGCATTCGAGAGCAACAGAAAATTTCTGTCCGTTTGCGTGTGTTGTATACGTTTGATAATAATTCATATCACGCTTTTTCCCGCGTTTCCAACGTCGACGACCGCTTTTATCATCCTGCGAGCACTTCCTCCGCGACTGACAGTTAAAAGAAACAGGGGGCAGGGGAAAACGGAAGCTCCAGGTAAACCGTGGCTTTTCTGGCCACCGTTGTCCGCTCGCGAAAACAACCTCGCATCTTCGACCGTTTTAAACGTCACTGTCTTCTTTTATCTCTTACCAACCCCTCTGTCACCTCCCAACCCTTCGTTCCGAGCTTTTCTTTCTTTACTCGGCGCGCTTTTTCAACGCGGCTTTGTACTTCCTGTCTCCCCGTAGGATTTCTTCTTGACGTTGGTAATTTTTCCTCTCGCCGTGTCCTTTGTTTTTTTTTCTCTCCCCTTTCCTCTTCTTCAACTACTTACTCTTGGCCAATGTTCGAATTTCTGTCGAGAATAAGAAGAAGGTACCACGCAGCAACGCAGCAAAATTGTTGGAAAGTATTGTTAACGGAACTCTTTCTTTGTTTCTTCGTAAAGGAAAGCTAGTTACGCGTATCTATCGGGGAAAATTGAAAAGAAAATAGTATACTGGACATATGTACGAGTCCTTTGTAACATGTACAGTAACTGGTTCGGAAACGGTCGTCGTCTACCTTCTAAAATTAAAAAGTAATCCCTACAGTATTATCGGAACCACCAAGTCAGCCAAAGCGTATAAAAGTTTGAAAATTTAATAAACGCGGCTAAGAACATTCCGACACGCGCAGCTAAGTATTTCTATGGCTAATGTTCGTTGAAGAAGATCCCCGAAATAGGAAGCTTTAATATCTCAGCCTTCACAGCGCGCCTCTCATAAAGCCACGACAGAGCATCCAAAATAATCTTCAAGCGTACAGTTCTTCTTCAACGGCTTCTAACAAAAGCCCTTCTCTTCTCTTCTCTTCTCTTCTCTTCATTCTACCACTTTTTACCCTCCAGTTGTTATTAAACTGTTTCCAGTCCATAGTGTGCAGTTCACAGTTCTTTGTGACCACCACCGACACTCGCGATCCATGAAGATCTCCTGTTTATCACGCTTCTCGAGCACTGAACCGAGACCACGGTTATTATTAGACAGCTGTATGCTGCTGTTAGAAATTAGAGCAATTTCACTTGTGCAACGTGACTCGGCTATAAAACGGCATTATTATTTTCTCAGAACCGGTGCTTTTATATTCAGAAAAGAATAAATAAAGATCACCTTCTCATTCTTCTCGAGCTTAACTGATACAAAAAAATGAAATATATCTACCTATAAAATGACTGAAATTTATTTAATCAGTTTTTGATAGCGATTTAAATAGCGAAAACGTTCGATGACACGCGTTAATTTACGCATGAAACGCGGTAACAAAGAACGCGTTATTTCGAGGTATAATTTACGAAATTGCCGAGATAATTCGAGTTTAGTGAACGTCAAGGGACGAGCGTGCGGCCGACAATAATTTCGACCGGATATCGAGCGAGAAGAGCCGATGGAGCGCGGACAACGTCGGTTTCCGGTGACCGACTATCGATCCCCCTCGTCGATTCGATTAGCGTCGTCGTACAAACGTGCAAAACTGTTTCTCAGCTAATTAATCTGATTATCGGCGGACCGTGCGCCACCGGAGAAATTTATTTTTCGACGTTCGACCGGGATAACCGAGACCATCGAATACCTCCTGTCAAACAAATCGATGTTCAGATTATCCAGACAAATAACGGCGGTCGTCAAATCGACCAACAAACACTTTTATTTATCGACACTTTTATCCTATAGGTAACAGCCTAAACCTCACCCCCGTAAGGGTTCGATAACCAACGTATTTTTCTCATTTTCTTTCCATTTTTGTTTTATTACTCAACGTTAATTGAATATAAAATGAAAATGTTGAGTGAAATAATATTCGCGAGTGAGGAACGACAGAGGGTAGGTACGTATGAAAATGTTTAATGAAGTTTAACATTGTAATTTACTTGGATTTTAATCTTCCTACGGGTATACTAACTCGTATGCATACGATTTTCATGTCGTGCAACGAGATTAAATAATTTAATTGGTTTAACACAGGTAGAAATTATTGTACAGAGAATATTACAGAGAACGAGAACACTGAAACAATTTAATTATCATTTTTTCTTTATTCGCGTCGTTTTAGATTTTAATTCTCTCAAGTCCTCAAACAGAATCATGAATTTACGTGGAAATTCGATTTTATTTAATTTTCTTCTTCATTCTCAATTTATTTTCTCATGCAAAGTCATTACCTTTCAGCTTGTATTACGTATTAAGGATTTAATAAAAATACAAAATAAACTTACCCCTAATTCTAACGGATCAGCCTCTAAACGATGAATGTTTCTGAAGAATCTGCAATCAGAAAAAGCAAAAGTTAAATTTTATACAGTATTCGACATTAATCGTGTAAGGAAACTTCGATTCTGATAATATCTCTCCTCTCGTCTATTTCCTTTTAATGTATTTCTACATCTTTCCAACCGTGTAATTATGACTCGCGATTCCATAACATTTTCTGCCATTATTCCCGCAGCCGTCTGAAATTTCTTTCTCCTTTGTCGCGAAATCCCGGCCATCGTCCTCTTGAAATTATCATTTCGCAGCTCCTACGTTTCTCCCCACATCTATCTTGAATAATCCTTGCTTCTTCCTTAATGCATTCTTTGCTCCCCACATTTTGAGAGTCGTTCTTTAATCTTTCTGGAGCCTTGCGCGGAAGGTCTCTTATCGTTAATATTTCTTCTAATCTTTGTATAATAATTCGTATTACAATATATTGTATTTTATACTAAACACGGTTCTTTGTTACCGTGGCAAAGAAAAATATCTGTTTCTTTCCAACGTTACTTGAAATCTTTAAAATCCTTTCCTTTCATAATTTTTATTTCTCTTCGGATCTTTGTCCTCTGCCATCTTCTCTACCCGCTCTGTAGCTAATACTTTTCCTTAAAAAAAAAAGAAGAAAAAAGGAATCGAATCGAGTCGAGTCGAGTCGAGTCGAGTCGAGTCGAGTCGAGTCGAGGATCTTTCCTTTAATTTACTTCCCTGCTTGGCTTCTCTGTTTCTCAGTCTTCCTTTTCCACGTAGTTTCTGCTTGGTGTTCCTCTATCTTATCATCTCTACCCTTACCAATCCTTCTTAACCTTTCCCTTTCTCCTCGCTATTCCACAGATCTTTCAGCCTTTATCACAGAGTTGCAGCTGCGTTTTACCATTCCATGTTATCTTCTTCCCTCATCGTGGCTCGATTTCATTCATCTTAATCTTTGCCCTCTCGGCTTAACTTATTAAGCAAGCACGACTTCCTTCTTCCTCTTTGTAGACTGTACACTATACACGGTACACGGTACACGGTAGACGATCTTGGGGTATTAAACCGGCTGATTCTCATGGAATATGAGCTACTCGATTTTATAGACGTCGTGCAGCCAATAAATTCATGAACAACGTGGAGAAGCAGCCAGCATCTCTGTCAGGGATCAGTTTAGACTTACTTCTTCGAAGTTACTACAGCACGAGGCAACTTTCCAACTGGCTTGAATAATCGTTCGTTACCGCAGCCGTAAGAAACACTCGTCTCTTCTCATCAACGTTAACGAAGTATTTTACTGGCTTGTTTCAAAGCGCATAGAATGCAGCGAAATTTTCGGATTTTAAAAGAAGATGTACCTAATTCTCGATGAAAGGCTTCGCAAACGGCAGGAAACGAATGATGGTGTAGAATTTCTGCTCGAAAGACCTTTTATCCCGTATGATGCGTAAGAAAAAGCTCCATTCGGCTGGCCATCCCCCTTTTTCATCTCTCTGTGACATCTTTTCGATGACAGACAGACACCGTTGATCTGTCCTTTCCTGCTCTTCTCTGCACCGTCTCTTTTTCTCTAAGGTTGCCGGTTTATCAAGCATCTGCCTCGTTCCAACCATCGCAGCACCGTCTCGTCATGTGCAAATGCGTTTCTGAAAGGGCTGCAGCCCGTCTAAGGCACGACGTGCCACGAATTCTACGGACAGCTCGTCTACATCCGGCTTGCGAGGGAAAAACCTTGAGAGAGAAGAAGAAACAGACGGGTAGGAAAGGAAAAGGGAAGGTTGGATACGGGGGCGGTGGATGAATCGGCGGAAAAGGGGTGAAGAAAATATCGCCTGGAAGCATCGCACGGGGAACGCAGTGATTCGAGACACGCGAACGGAATTCTCGCGACAAACCGCGTATTTGTATCCTAAGTCCCATACGGTTTCCCTCTCTCGAGTTCCATATATGCTCAACCGTTTTTACGCTGTGATTCGAGATTCGAGTTCGTATACACCTTGGATTACTCGACTGCTTTACAACAAATAATATTGTAATAATTAATAGTAGTAGTGTAAATGCCTAATTATATCATTAACAAAAATGAAATATAATATTCCTGTTTACCGTTGAAAATAACGCAACAGTAGACGGTACCTATTTTCTTGTTTACACGCTTTCCCCGTACAACAACGAACGCAGTCTGTTGCGAAATACACAACCGAAAACGCAAAGCCATTATTTTTCGCGGTTCCTCTCATCGTTTCAAGTTTTCGTTAATTACCGGCCGTGACTAAAAAACGTGCTTTAATTACTCGACCATGAAGATAATAGACGACACGCGGTAACAGGAACGCGAAAAACAGAAACAACAAAAAAAAAAAAAAAAAAAAAAAAAGGAAAAAAAACGTATCGGTTTTGTGTCACATGTTTCTGTTCTCGCGCGACGAACGATAAATTTGTTCGCTTGTATTTCTTTTCATAATTCTTTCGCTGTGTCACCATTTTCCTGCTCGTTGCGTTGGTAGAATTACGTTTAATCGAGAACCTACATACATACATATGTAGGTACAACCGAGATATTCGAATAACAAGAACTCGAGTTCGGCTGGTTGGATCACATGAAATTTTATTACTTTGTTTTACCATTTAAGCATCGGATCGTGCAATAATATTTCCAATAAAAAGATTTAAACAGTAAGCCCCAGTAAGCCGAACATTCGATAAAATTTCATTCATTTACACGGAGGACAATAATATAAAAAAACGTTTGCAGTATTTATTATTGGAAGCTTAGATACTTCTAAAAATTCAAATATTTTCTGTTTCAGATGACGAATTGATGCAGTTATTTTCCATCCACACTTTCCAATCACGATATTCGAAACTAAGATATTCCTAAATAAGACCTTCTTGTCCAATTTAACTTTTACACTGTTAGAAACCGCAACTTATCTCGGCCGGATCGGATGTCTCGTATATTTTTCATTTAAAAATGAGCACAAGTCCTTGCAATGTTAATATTCCTTTTGGCTGGCTGAAATTTTCCCTGGATCCAGTCGGTTCGATAAATAATTCAGATGGTCGCACGACTGCAAGCAAATTGCTTAAAATGTTCAGCTCGCGAGCATCGCGTTCTAATTAATCTTGTGCAATTTATGTGCCACGATCCCGCGACTTTTGCACCGTTTCATTTTGAATTATAATATTTTCTATTTGATAAAATTATTTTATTAACATACGGGACATATTCTTGAATGATCTATCTTCGAACCGTTAAGCATGAAACATGTAACAGTATTGTCTAACACTGTAACTCCTTAACATTCGCTGTTTATAGTTGTAGTTGTTTTGCATTGCAAATTCGTGAGTCAGTGCAACGATTAAACGGATAGTGTTTACGATGATGAACTGTGTTTATGTAGTAGCGACTCTATTCAACTGTAGATTTATAGATCATTCAGTTAATTACGCGGCGGATGCGTATAAACAGTGGTACGATTAAATAAGTGATCTGTATCAATTTATGTTTACGAATTCGTGTAATTATTTACCAATTTATGTTTGCATCGCTGTGTAAATGCAGAGTGTTTGTTTACGTCTAGTTTGACTAATTATTTAAATTGAGTAACTGTGTTTATTCTACGTCTATGGAACTCTGTGAATTGTTGAAATTTTTAGAAATGAAATCACACCGCAAATTGTTTCTTACTACGTTTTCTGTTTTCATTATCTGGCAAGGTTCATTTGTCGGTGAAACGTTCTATTCAATAAGGTGGTAGCAGTGTTTCCTATGCGTCAGAGGGCTCTTTGTAACTCTTTCCGTGCTTCCTGACACTCCGCAGCAGTACTCTCTCTACTCTTTGCTTCTCTCGAAAACTCTCTATCCTCTGATACTTGCCAGCACCCTGCACTCTGAAACTTTTTGATTCTCTCGAACACTCTGTACCTACTCCTCCTCTCTGACCATCCTCGCCACTCTTCAACTCTTCGATTTCGTCCGACCAACCTCTGTGTCCTCCCTCTTCGAATTTTCAAGCCTTCAATTAACAGTTGCCGCTGAATTTTTAACGGGAACGTGACTTTTTCTTTGCAAGGTACAAAAATGAACCGAGTTTTAATTAGAACTTTCAGATTTCTCTTAAAATCGTGTATCATAGTTGCAAAAAAGGAGAAGCAAGTTTGAAGGTTGGGAACGCGTGAACACGCGGTGTTAACGGTGAACCACGAGGTCGTCGGGCTAATTGTAAGCGCGATTAACCAGCTTCACGCTTCTCTGCACTACGGTCTGTTGCACTGAAGAGAAAGGAGAGGATCTCTCCTTCGAGCCCCTAGCTTAGGGGTTGAAAAGGTTATCAGGGAGAAGAACACGTTCACCGTACGCGGACCCTTCGAATTGCCTCTGGGGACGCGTGACCTTCGAGCATAGTTGCAAATTCTAAATGCGCCCTAATTGTCTAACGTATTAATAATATCTACGTACGGTGTCTCGAAATTAAACGCGCAAACTTCAACTGTACGATTTTCCGTTAGTGGGAGCAGAAATTTCTGATGCAAAAGGGAATGGACAAAAGCGTTTAAAGGAGAACGAATATATTATGTATAATAAAGACGGTAATTTAAAATGAAAATATACATATAGTTCATAACTTGAAATGGTAGGAATCACTGAAACGGACTAAACTATACGAAGCAGAACGCTTTACGAGGCGTTTCAAACTTCCAAATGAGACTTATGCTTTATTCACAAAGCTATTCGAAGATTTCATAAACCCTCGTTTTATGCTTTTCATTAGAGAACGAAGGATAGCCACGTAGCTTTCTACGCGTTCAAACAATCTGTTATATCTGTTTTTAAAGCGTTAAAACTTTTTCATTTATATGGTACCATACGCGTGAATTCTGCAAACCTTATTAACAAACTTCAAATATCTTTTGGAATATGAAATTTTTCTAACTCTTCGCCCTCATATTTTCCTACTGACGGAATGCATAATAGAATCCATTTACTTTCTACGAATGCATCGTATAAAAGCCATAAAAACAGTTTATCAAATGAAAGT